CAACTAGTTCGGTACTTTTTATTTGCAAAACTACCAGATTTCAATAAAATCATTAATTTACTTATGTAATCAATTTTGGAGTAATTAATGGAAACCTTATCACCTTCCCAAAATCTAATCAGGATTCTCTCTCTCTCTCTCTCTTCTTCTTTTTCTTCCTCTCTCTCTTCCTCTCTTCTTTTTCTTCTTCTTCTTCTACAACTTTACGCTTAACATTCTCTCTCCTCCTATCGTTGAATTTTTTTTTTCTTTATCGGTCAAACACGGACAATCCACGACTTAGATGAGCGCGGGGTTGGCGGATCGATGGAGTAGCAGACCCGTCGAGAGTAAGGCGACCGTAAACCCCGACGGGGCACCACAAACTGAGGAGATGCGATGGCCCTCCAACGACCGAAGATAGCGGTTTGCCGGCTCTAGCCTTCCAGTTAAGCTTGGGGAAGACGACCCAAATTAAGCTTGGGAAAGTTGGCATTGACTGGATTTTGATGGAGGACTTGATCGCAGCCTCGAGGTTAGGGAATGGGCGGGGGCGGGCTGAGGTCCTCGAATTTGTCGACCCCGTATATAGTTTGTATATAGTCTGTATATCTCCCGTATATATTCTGTATTGCGAGGCTATTGTATTGTGAGATGGTTCATTTCATGATTTTTTATTTTCTTCATGAAATATATTGAGTTTTTTCTGTTATTTTTTAAATTTCTCCTAATTGTAAGGTTTGGTTTTGTAGCCTAAATATTACAGTATTATATACACAAATATTAAACTTACAATACAATTTAACATACAATACTTGTATTGATATTTCGCCCAATTTGTTTTTATATCTTGAAAGAAATATAAACAATTCAATCCAGTAAAAGAGTCGATAAATAAAAAATGCCGACGAAGACTGGGATATATACACGTATTATTTGTAAATGTATATAAAAATGTATATGTTATGTATATGTCATGTATATATCCGACATAAACAAAGACTGTAATAAAAAATACCGACATAAAAATGTATATGTCATGCATATATCCGATTATATTACCTGTACATTATACAATGTACACAATCTACATATTTTCGTGCGATTTGTTGTTCTTCAATTTACCTTTTTTTTTTGTTTTATGTAAGGAATCCCTTAAGCGTGGAATCCTCCTAATTTTATGCCAGATATTCTCTCTCCAGCCATGCATCCGTCAGTTACGAGAATCTGTTATGGTAAGTAGTTATTTCCTCATCCTCTCAATATTGTACATATATAAATATTTTGTTTAAGGAAGGTATAAATGCAATTAAATTTTTGATTATGTATATATGCAAACAAGTGTAAAACACTACCGCATATGTGCAAATTGGCCTATAAAATAATATTTGGAAATATTGAAACTGAACATATGTATATGTGAATGAAGAGTGACACTTTCAAACTTACAATGCACTGAAGCCCATGATGAACGGAGAACAACGGGCATGGTGGGCTAGGATGCTTATATTATGTGATCTCACATTTAATTCTTAATTAATGGGCCTAAAGGGGGTGTGTTGGACTTAAAGTTCAAAAAGTTTTTGTATCAAGGCCCAATTGAGACCATTCACACATGGAAAGGGAGAGATTTATTACATACATATAATAATAAGTTACATGAATACCTTAAAGACGAGATAAAAACTTTTATCACATGATAGAACTATTCATTAAACTTATTCATCAAAAGAACGCATAAAATGGAAACAAAAATACAACTGCAATTTACTATGATATTTGGCGAAAGTACACGTATGTTTTCTGCTTCTTAAACAAATTTCCAAATGATGAGATATTTGAACAAATCTCACAAGGAGGAATAATTTACTTTTATATTCCAATATAGGTTTTTTCTTTCTTTTTATTAAATTGTGAACTCTTTCTTACGTCTGCTCCTTTCCTTGTAGCTGGCATAGGTATTCAACTTTCCTCATCTAGTTTACTATGTCTGACCTTTTGCTTTACTTTACTTTATTTAGAAAAATAATATTATTAAAATATACAAATA